ATTGAAAATAACATCATAAGGATGAACTTAAGACAACCCGACTTATAAGGTTGGAAGAAATTATTTATCATATCGAATAATCTGAAATGAATTGGGAATCATAGATAAAACATGAAGGCTTCTCTTTGGCTTGCTTTGTCCACTACTGTTGCGTCTTACTCATAATTTAGACAGAATTATTGGTAATTAATTGAATTGTTAGTTTGTCTCTTAACAAGTACCATATATGTCAACCAAAGCGTTTGGATTGACACATACAATACCATAGACAGACCATAAACAAGATTAATTGACAGCCGGAATAACGAGACGTTGTAGTCAGAATGACCACCTCACACCACCGGACTAAACTCGATAAGGTCTCGCCACACCGACGCCGATCTAACGAAGATAACACTGACGAGCCGTCGTGTAGTCGTGTTGAAGGAACAAACATCACTTGATAACAATTTGTTAGCGAAAATAAAACGCAAATATCTATAGATAAGATAATCCTCAAGTTATTTGTGTTCATTATTGCTACGATGTGATAACAAACGATTGAAGTGCAATCTTTTAGCAATTGTGCAAAACAACTGATATATAAACACGGCTAAACACTCACGTATATTCGTCCGGTAGCGGCACCGACTAGTTTCGAGCCCATCGGGGGCCCTTCATCAGGATGAGTGGTACTGGTATTATTTCGCGGACGCGGCCCGTCGCTCATTGACGTATATACGTGAGTGTTTAGCCGTATTTATATATCAGTTTAGTATAATGCCTCACGAAAGTTTGAATAATTTGTGCAAAACAACGTTTAAATTATATACTCTTTGATCTGATTTATACATATTTACTTGTAACTTTAAAATGTTTATGCATATACAAGTACTTTTATTGCAAGAAATAAAGAAAGAACTGTTTTTCATAATACTTGAGCTGAAAAAATTGGGAAACTACATTTAAATAGAAGAGCAATTTGTAAATGATGAATGAGTTGTTGGCAGCCGCCAACATCTTTGCATCAACAAAACAGTCAAGCTGTCACTACAATTTTAAACGTGCTGTATTTTTTAAAATAAATATTGATTTTTGTTTATCACCACTTCACTTGTGTTATATTTTGCTTCGACTCACAACTAACACAATGAATGCAAAACATAGTATGCAAGATAAGGGCGACAAAATTACAGAGGTTTGATTCGTGTTTGTATTTCAGAATGTTAGATGCTTTTTCATTTAAAATTCCTGCAAGTTATACTTTGCTGACATGTAACAAATGTAGTAAAACTCTTAAGTAAGCTTAAAGTATGCGAGTGGCCTTAGTTAATGGAATTCCGCGTGAGTCAGCGTACTACCAATGAGAAGGAGATGAGATCTTCCGAGAAATGTACGCCGGATCGAGCTCCCCCCATTACCCCGCCGCACCGCGCTTCGACTTACAAGAGGTCATCGTAACATCGCATTCGACTTAATAGATCTCTGACATAAATCTACTCAATAAGAAGAAACTTGTCATATAAATCAAGTATAACATAAAAGTCTAAAAGAAATAAAATGTTAGTTGTTGGTCGTATTCAATGGCTACACATTTTATAGTTTTACTAAGGAACCCAGAGTTGTAATGTAGTCCTCTTTAGTGTTATTTTAGTAATACAATTATACAAAAAAAGGACCACTTAGAAATCATAGACAACTGCCAAATATGTATGTATTTTGCAATATTGAATGTAACTAACTTTCCGTTTATTAGAAATTCCCTTAATGAAATCTGTGCGTTAGCAGATTTTTGCGATCAAAGCCTGGAATTCGGAGCTAGCGAAAACTCGACTACGCGACTGCCGTCAGGTATTTTGCACTTGAATAGGGATAAAGGGAATTGCACATTCAAACAGAAAATTATTCACACTGCCTCAAACATCCACTCAAAATTATATCACTGATTTAGCAATCTCTTTGTACTCACACTTAAAGTCTCGTACGGCAAATTCAAATGACGTCGCTGTATTGTTACTTGTACATACAAGTAACCATTTGTTGTTTTGGAAATAATTTTACATCCAAAACTATTTATAATTCTTTAATTATTTTCTACTCATTAAATATGAGAAATAGATATTAAAGAACTATAAGATCTACATTTACCTGCTTTTGGTAATATGTTGACTTTAAGGGTTTAGTGTGTAGAGGCCCTAACACACGACTATCGTCTGGGCAGGCGGGTTAATTAGCAGTGCGAGCGCAGGCGAGGTCGCCGGTCGGGGCTAGTTTTGTTTTTTACTTTTTATATACAGCTGGCTGCATTATGATCAACTTCACACGTACGAAGTATCATCCTTTCATATGAACTTTTAGACCAGAAGTAGTCTAGTCGTTGAATAATATTCAAAATGCACGGGTATTGCAGGACATTGATGCAGTTGCTGTGTTGACTCTTTTTTAATAAGCCTATTTTTAGTGATGTCACACTTAGATTCCTGACAAGCATAGTGACTATAAGGGCCGCTGATATAACCAAGGAATATTAAGCATTTCCGACGCCCTGGGAGCGGTTTTGCGGCGTCCCCCTTTCTTTTGGTGTCGGGTCCCCTTAAAAAAACATAGATTTTTAGTTCTATTAAAATTCAATTTACTACTAAGCTATACTACACTTTAATACAACATCTAATTTCTAAAATTCCACGTTACCGTAATATTACAAGAGAAAAGGTTACGAGTTCATATCAGCATAAAGTTAAGCTCTGTGTTAACATTAAAATAGTGTGTTAAAAGCTTCTATTGTTAGGACACATTGTGATGCACGTCACGCGCGATCGCACCGCTCTACGCTCGTACTCGCTTTCCGAAAAATTCCATTAACTAGTCAAATGGTAATTTTTTTTCTCTGAAAACCTACAACACAAAGTATTTGTCGGTTATATAAGTTTTCACATTTGAAAGTTATTGGTGGCCAATTATGAAAAAAATTAATAGACATCAAAAGTTTTACTTTCAATCACAAAGAAAGAAACCACTTCTTTTAAGATATTTTTATAGAAAAATAAGAACTATAGTAAGAAAAAATTCAATTTAAAAGTAAAATAAAAAAGGTTAAAGCAATCAGTGACAAACATAATCAATTTACTACTATATTAGCTGTCGCCTGCGACTTCGTTAATGAGGTATTAAAAAAAAAAACTTAATAAGTAGCCTATGTGTTCTACCACACTATGATCTACATCCATGTCAAATTTCATCAAGATCCGTTAAGCCGTTCTGGAGATAACATTTGCATTTATTATATTAGTAAATATTAATAACTCTTTTTAAATTATAATATACATTTGAATGAAAAATAGCTAAATGAGAGTACAATAGCAGTATAATACAAACTGTGACTTGTACAAATATGTTATGACTGAATAATATATTTGTTTTGAGCATCGGTGGCTCAGTCCTGGGTTCGAATCCCGCCATGTACCAATGTGTTTTTCGATTTCCGATTTACATATGTACATTTATCCGACATTCTTACGGTGAAGGAAAACATCGTGATGCAACTTGCATATGTCTGAGAAGAAATTCAAAGGTATGTGTGAAGTCAACCAACCCGCACTTGACCAGCTCGGTTGACTATGGCCTACTCACCCTTAACTTAGGGTAGGCTTTGAGCCCCTCGGTGGGGACGTATACTGAGCTGATGGTGATGAATAATAAATTTGTCTATCTGATCTATAGTTAAATGAATTACCATTAGTTTACAATTCTTAAAATGTGTGCATCAGAAACAATAAATATTGTGTCATAATTTTTTTTTAATTTTATAACCTGGTAACATAGACTTTTAGGTCATATCTTATTTGGAAAATGTTCATTACTTTGGTTTCACTACACTTCACTTCACTAACATTCATTGTTTAATTGTGTCATGATGATAATGTTGATCACAGAATAGACACTGTTTAATGGAAGACACAAAATAGATTTTACCTAAATGCATATTATTATTTTTTTAATTACCAAAACCTGTGGTGTTGAAGGTATGAGCGATAAGGGATCTCTATCATGTATGGCCATTTGCGTGTTATATTCTAATATCTATATTGCATATTAAGACTTGTCATCTATTCCTTACAAGTTAATATAAGATAATTTGGTTTTGTAAATAACAAAATGAACTCATTATTTACATAGGCCATCGGTCACCAAACATTTTTGGTATGGAATCTTAGTGAGAAGAGTAGTATTTAAAGGAGTCCTATGTTTATGCCCTAGAATAATCATATGAACATGATATGATTTTTTTGATAATATATACAACATAAGATAAAATAAGGCATTATCAATTTTATTTAGCATCATGTGTATTTAGTTAGTAAAAATTAAAAAAAAAACATTTAGGTAATTTTATAATTATTATTCAGCAAAAGCAAAAACTAAGACTCAATAGTGAGTGGGGATAATAAATAAAAGAGTACAACAAATAAATTGATAAAAAATTAAATATAACATTATCTCTTATGTAAATGCTCACACAAGAAATGTTTACTTAAGCTGCTTAAATAAGATTTATTTCCGTCATAAATATAAATGGAGTTACTTTATAAACATGTGTCAATGAATTTTTCTGTATCAATGAACTTTTTACTATAAGAGTGGAAGAGATAATATTATCACTACACATAAGTAAACAACATGTGACAAACATTACATATTAAACTGATTAAAAAGAACAAACTATTCAAGACTAGATTTTAGTAGATATTAAGAATATTTTTGATGAGTCTTACATAGTTATAACAACTGAAGAACTTACTAAACAAGGTTGCCAAGATATCTAGATAAATAACTTAGTAACTACCTCAATTTCAAACTAACCGACATTGAAATAAATACTCTACTGATACGTATTATCTGAATAAAATTACTGTGGCCTGGAAACGGTGGATTTTTTTCGTAAACATTTTCGTGCAAGTCAATATAAGAGGCCCGTAAAATTATACACAACTTTTCCTTCGAAAAGATAAGATTTTACTTACAGTTATCACTTGAGGAAAGACGAAGTTTCCACTTCTTCGGCACTAGTAGTATCTTGAACACAACATATTCACTTTGCGTAAAAATAAAATGAATTACCGGATTGGTCCTGTCACAATCGTTGTAGCGAACAATTCGTATAAATCTGAGGATAACTAGATTTGTAATTTCTTCGTTCTATATATGAAAAATACAAACTCACAGCAATAAATACAAGTAATAAAAGATTAACTATAAACCGTACGAGTCGCTTTCGACTGAAGATTCCAATCCTTTACACAAAAGTGGTCCACACCACAAAATCCAGGGAATATTGCGCACGCATCTATCAAGTTCGTTGAAATGACATATGACTTTGTATGACTTATGTTAAATTGACAATTCAACCGCTTATGTTGCCTGTTACTACCAAAATACTCAGTGTTCATTTTCGTTTACAAAAAATAATTTGATTTTCAAAATGACTTTCATGCAAATATTGTACATACGAAACAAACCGCAAAAAAATCTCAGCTCTTCAGCTAATTAACCACTAAAAAGTTAATGTGTTGAAACATTGCTAATTGTTTCTAAACGAAGATATTAAAAGTCAGCTCAATAAATCAATAATGACAAACGTCAATTTTGTCCTGTGAATGTCACCCAATGTCAGTTCTGAATATATCGCAAAAACTTGTCAATAAATAATAAAACTGACGTGTAATTTGTTAAAAATTACAATCAAAATTTCATGTGTGTTTTTCTACAAATTTAAAAATGTCCGATGGTGATGCAAATGTTAGCAATGACGCAATATCAGGAGGAAATAATGATTCAAAAACGGAAGCCGATTCCTCCGTCGCAATTTCTGATCGTGAAGCATATTTCCAGGCACTTCATATGTGGATTCAGCAAGCTCAGATGTACCAAAACATTTCCTCCTGCTTCCCTTATTACATGATGACCTTTCAGGGTTTCCAAAATAATCCAACAAATGTACCTCTGTTAAACAATAACTACCAGTTTCAGGGGCAACAATTTCCATTTCAAATGCCAAATTTCAGGCCAGTAATAGAAAACCGAAATCCAGTAGAAAATCTTACACCTGCTGAAGGTAACAAAACCTAAACAATGAACATATATCAGAAATAATAAATAAATATAGTTCTTTATGTTTTGTAAATGCATAGTTTCATCATATTATTTTTTTTTTCAGTTATAGCCAGGCATGGCGGCTATGAATATATAATACCACCTCTTTACAAGAGATTGATGGCAGAGTTTATTGATTTCATTTTATTGTTCATTCTTAAACTAATTGTCACATTCATAGCTGTGGATATGTTTGAGTTGATGTAAGTATCCAATTAGAATTGTCAAAAATAATCATAAGAAAAATGTGTATTGTGAGTGGCCTCTCGCTCATTTGCCACCTTTATGATATAAAAAAAAAAACCTTAAACAAAACATAATACTATTACACAAGAATATCATGCAAGAAATTCTTTTCTGTTCTTTTGAACATATGTATTGAACAAAGTAGCTTCCATTTTAATATTATAACCTTGCGTAATTCATATGATACTAGTCAATAATTAAATTAAATTCCAATTAATGTTAATGAAACAGTATTTTCAGTCCTCTCAATACTAAGACTTAAATCTTTTTACTTCTAGTGATTTGGAAAAATTTGATTTCTACGAATTTAGTGAACACTATGACGACTACAAGTATGCAATGGAGTTGACTTCTGAAATTTTATTTTTGGAAGTTATTTACAGGATTTTAGTTTGTATTTTTGAGGTAAATTTAATTTAATTATCAACCAAAATTTTTTTTTTAACATTAGTATTGTTTTAAGTTCTAAGATTAACAAAATGTTATCTGTTTCAGGCATTTTGTTTATGTGGCAGTGTCGGTCGTACAGGTGGTGCAACACCTGGGAAGGCACTCCTTGGTCTCCGTGTTGTAACAGCATCTGCTATTATTCCAGTAGAAGGCCGCCCCAGAGAAACGGTTCTGTTGTACCCTGGCCGTCCCCTTACGTTCCTCCTAGCACTAGTTCGGTCTTTAATGAAGAACTTCCTTATTTCCCTTTTATTTCCATTATGCGTGGTACTATTTGTGTTTAGTCATAATCGTACTGGATACGACATCCTATGTGGTGTCATTGTGGTGGAAGAGAACATGTACCCAGCAAGGAGACATGCACCTTAAATAATACCTTTATTTAGATTGTATATAAATATTTGGTCCCTATAATATTAATAAAGTTGTTTTCCTAACTACTCCCAGACATTGTGTAGTTTTGGTAAGGATTTTTATTCATCTTTTGTTTAAGGCATTTATTATAAATGGGTGTTACATTACTTTTAATATCTACTACTGTAATTATAGTCTGCAAATACGTCATTTTGTCTGCAGGTTACTATGAACAAGAAAAAGTGTAAATGCAGGGAATATGAGTACCTAAACTCCATTATTGTTTAA